CTTATGTCTTTTGGCCCTGCCATAACTTATTGCCACTTCATTCTCGAAATTATTCCCCTTTATGCTAGAAAATCCGGATTTAGTCCAGAATCCGACGCACTCCAAATCCTGATTAGAATATTTATTACTTAATACGTATCGATTGAATAAAAATATTACGTGAGATGTCTGTAAAACGCAGCAGATTGGAGGAAAAAGTAAAAATCAGGACGTCAATTTAATTACAGAACATCTCAAGCAGAATTTATATTATCTTTCACCTCAATATATTTATATCCAGTAGGAATTGAAAGATGATTTTGAACCACAACATAAAGATGAGACGCTATTAAAACGTCGATGTCTTCGTTTTCAGTCACGTTTGAGACATGGTGGAACCATTTGATTCTAAAGAGCTGTCTAAGGTGTCTCTGTTGCAACTTGTTTAATGCGTGCATGTGTCGGCGGTACGACACCCACGTTTCGCTTCCATATAGCATGGTGGGGATTATTATTGCTCGGTACACTGCAAGTTTCGTTTTTGTGCTCAAATCATGATTGTAGAAAACTCTGTCATTTAATTTCCAGAATGCTCTTGAGTTGCTGCTAATCTTGCGCTAAATTTCGGAGTCGATATTGGCCTTTTCCGAAATCAAACAACTAGCTTGGGTGCAGGGTACGAGGGTCATAAGGGTAACGTAAAGGCAAATGAAATTGCTAAACAAGACTCATCAATGCCATTCATAGAACCCTTCTATGGAGTTGCAAAAAGAAGTCACGAGATTGGACACAAAACGATAGATGAATCTCTAGAATAGTGACGAAAATCACCAGAGCAAAGACTGGCGAAAAAGTTCATAGTAGAACATCCGTCAAAATTCACGACAGACCTGATAAGCAAAGACAGAAAGAGACTCAAAGCTGTCGTGGATCTACAAGCAGGGCATTGTATGCTGAATGGGCATCCGAAGCTAACGGGATTGACAAACAAAGCCATGTGCAGGTTCTGTCCATCTGAATAGAAATGACAGAACACATTTTATGTCAGTGCGATAGCCTGTCAAATGTGCGGTTCTCTGTAATAGACAATGATAGGCCATTGACAGAGAGCTATAACGTTCAGTCTCCATGCTGTTAGAATTTTTGAAAAGGATAGGAGAATGTAACCTAAAGATCAGAAGAGGATCACAGTAAATCTGAAAAAGTTGCAATGGATCAGACCAATTATAATCTAAGGGTTATAAATATGTCCAAAGACAATATCTGTTTCAAATCTAATCAAGTTAATCTTCTAATGTGAAAAGAAAGTGTCTTCAGAAACAGTCAAAATAGTAGAATTAGGAGCAAAGAACCAACCCCAAAACATTTTGGAACTTTTAAAATTAACTTAATTGCAATACATTATTATTGTCTAACCTTCTTGTCAAGTCTTTAATCTTAACTGACCCGAAAAAAAAAACTTAAAACCATCACAATTTTAAATAGTATATTTATTTAATATATAATTTTTAATATAAATTCAGTATATAAATAAGAGTAAAGTTTATAATTCGTTTATATAGAAAGACCTTCCAGTCGAAAATGTTATTTCGAGTATTGAAAAATGGACACTCTGATCCAGGTAGTGACAAAAGCATGTTTCTCTATTTTGCCTAGGGCGGCGTTTGTTTTAAAGCGATTAAATTTGTTGGAAAATTAATGCTTTATGATGAGTAATCCGTCAAATAGGATATCTGAAATGTCTATGGATGAAACACATTATTAAACATAACATGAATAGGACTGGTCGCTTGGATGTATGCATGTATGTAATACCAACGACAAATAGCAATCAAAATAATCCTTAGCGGATAATGCCGACGATAGTGGTAAATATGGCGCTGTTTAAATAATAAATTACCCTCCCACAATCCATAATGATATGAAAATGTAACGGCAGATTGAATGATTAAATTTTACTAATAGTAATAAGGTTCACGAATGCTGTGTGCGCGTATGTGTATAGAATAGCATACACTAATCACGGTCATCGTACTGTGTGTGTACAATGCTCAGAACGCAAACTTTACACAGCGTTTATGTTGAATTATTCGACTGTATAACTCAATATACGTATGCAAATCTATTATCAATCTGTAAGGGAGACTAGTCCCACCTTTTTTCACTCAGTTGAACGTTTACATTAATCAGCTAATATTATTAACGTATTACAATCTTAAATTATTTTTCAGATGACCGTTGAAATCACTGAATAACTAAGCTTTTTTTATACACTCTTCGGATATATTAAGTCACTAATGTGCATTGGCTTAGCCACTGTAGGCAGCATAATTTCTTGTAGTTCAAGTTACTACTCAGTTGAACCAAAAAATTTTAATACTAAAAGGAAACATAATTTGTATTGAGTGGAATTAGGCACAATTGTTATTGACAATAAAAAAAATAATAGACCGGTTGAATACATGAAAGGTACTAGAATTTTAGAATTTAAAATGAGTGGGAGGGGGTTAATCACTGCGACCTTACAGATCTATTGTGTCCCCCTTTCTTGAGTTATAACTCATCATACAGTCCCAGGGCTTTGACAAAAGCTGGTATCTGGGACGGTTTTACAGAGGGTAGTTCTCCATCTCCAATGTCAGTCGCACCAAAGTTCATGGCACGAATGGTTGTCGTCTCGGCGCACTCAGTGATGAGGTTTTCTGGTGTTTCCCCATTTTCCTCACAGAATCTGCATTCGCCTTTTTTCCTTAGTTTCAATCTACTGAGGTGTTCATTGAGGAGACAGTACTTAAATCCAGGAAGATCTTTGATTTTTCTTGGTCGTAAGCCCTCAGAAACTTCTTCGAGTGTCTTAGACCGTTGCAAGATTCCCATTCCAGGTTGCGGATGGAGTCTTCCAAGTTCTTGAGTTCCGCCTTTAGTTGGTTATCAATTGGGAAGCAGAACGGTTCTGGTCCAGTTAGTGGAGTGTTCTCTCCTTTTCTAGCTAGATCATTTGCTTTTTCATTGCCTTCTATTCCTTGGTCAGCAGGCACCGAGAGTAGGAGGACTTTGTTTGAAAGGTACTGGCAAAGTAACGAAATTAAATGCATTTCGTACGCAGGTGTTTATGTTAAAGCTGTGAGTAGATAGTAAGAAAAGATGATTAGATTTCATTGCTTTTAAGGCTAATTTACAGGTATTCAACAGCTGGCGCCAGTATCACTAGTACACAAGCACTGGCATGGTGTCACTGACACGAAAATGTAATTACACGATGCCACTACCATGCTAGCCATGAAAGTTAGAACTTACGTCCGACAAAATTAAAGATATTCCTCGATTTAAGTAATAACAATCTTCGGATTGTCACGGGCTTTTTCACAGAACACTGCCTCCTTAATAGATTGAAGCTTAGAAACAACGGTGAATGCAGATTCTGTTGGAAAATGTGGAAACACCAGCTGACCAACACCCCAACTGAGTCCGCCGAGACGACAACCGTTCGTGCCATGAACTTCGGTACGACTGATACTGGAGATGGAAACTGGTCTCTGTAAAACCTTCTCAGATACTAGCTTTTGTCAAAGCCCTGGGACTGTGTAATGAGTTATAACTCAAGGAAGGGGGACACAATAGATCTGTAAGGTCGCGATATAATTAACCCTCCTCCCATACTTTCCAACCAAACCTAACGTAACCAGGCTTTTCAGTCCATTTCAGAAATTCCATATCTTGTATAAAATATAAACAAAAATTTCCCATATCCTCTACACCAAAACCAACATAATTATAACCAAAGTTTAATAGATAAAATTCAGATTGGTTCAAGAAGCGAAAAATAAATTAGAAATCAAAATATTGTCAAGAAAAATGGCCTATCCGCCAGAAATTAAAAATGTATTACTGGTTGCCTGCACAACCGCAACGTATCCGCCAGAAATTAAAAGACTTTTTCAGGCGCCATCTTTTAGTCAAGTCGAGAAGTAAGGGAATCAGACAATAGAATTGTCTGGTATGAAGAAGTACGCTTTTTTGGCCCACCCTAAATCAAAACCTAGCTAAACCCAACTTTACAGCATAAAACTACTATGTGGTTTCTAAACCCTTTTTAAACTTCAAATGTATATTCTTTTAAGCATATGCATTAATTAATAATCTTTGTGTCTATTAATTATTCTGTAAAATATAAAATCGATAATATAAAATTAATTTTCGACAATCGTTAGAACTCTATTCATAATCTAAATGTAAATTTTCTTTAATCTTTAATTAAAACGTCTATAAAATTGTTGGAAAATACTAGGCAGACTGAAGGGAATTTTAATTTTATTGCTCCATCGAAAAAAAAGTTAAATATCGCCCCCTTCGATATCCGTGAAGTCATTTTTTATTGATGCCTTTGATCAGGATTATTAAAGCCCTCTGTAGAATCTTAAGCAGATTTGGATATTTTACTAATTATGTCTAGCTTCCCTGGATCTCCGATTTTTTTTTCTAGGAATTTTAAAGAATTTATTTTTTATTAAAAACGGAATATTAAAAAATAAATTTTACCTTTGGTTTGGAAAACATTTAAATTGTTTGATGTTCAAATAAGACTCCCCCATGTTATTAAATTAATAAAGGATATTACTGTATATTGAGATAAAGGTGGTAAATTTAAATCTTCGTAAACATCTATCAGTATTGACATTGTAAACAAAGAAGCAACACTGTGTTTGCGATTAAATTATACTGTGAGGAAGATTAAACCTGATGAACTGGTATAATTTATTCTTATAAAAATAGACTTATAACGCAAAGGATCCAACAGAGGGTTAAGTGTTTTTCTTTGAATTTTAAGCGTCGAGTAGAATTTCATTATTAGAGAAAACATAAAAAATCGTTAGTATGTAAATGAATTTACAAACTGTTTTTTGAAAACCAATTAAAAATGAATTTAAGTAATAATAAGGGTTTTTTTAAAATAGTTTCCAAATTACTAGAAATATGTTTATCTGTATCTCTGAGTTAATAAGTTCTTCTCTTGTTTTTAGGTGGTTGTGGAATCGCAAACGTCAGCCTTGGAGTATGGAGACATAGTGGTCGAAGAAAGGTCGCCAGTAAATCAAGATTTGCATTTCGACTCACAGCTTATGCACCTTTACGTAATGACAGCAAGAAAGGTAATATATCATGCCAACAATGTGATTATTTTAATTGAATATAATGTATAACGGGTTCCTCAACAAGTCCCAAATTTGATGCTTAGTCCCTTTATTTCAAAAACAACGACACATCGTAGACAAGCTCACAGAAAACTTTTTAAATTATTTGTGATTCTTCTTGAAAATCTTTATTCCGAAATAGAAAAAAAATTATGTCAATAAAAAAAGCTACGACCTTAAAAGATTTAAGTCTTTTTAGAATAGACTTAAGTCATTAAAAGGAGTTAAGTCTATTTATAAAAGACTTAAATCAGGTTTTTATAGGTATATTTTTATGATAAATTTTTAATAGCTGCAGTTTTTTTTAAACTGTTAGTTGGCAGCCAGGCTTCTCATAAAAAACAGCACTCAATACCACTAGCATGAAAAAAGTTAGTTTTTAGAAACCGGTTTTAATTATTGTTGTGTTACGCTTGCGTAGTGAGGCTGTTGCCTTTCAAGTGAATCAAGTGAATCCCGGAAATTGATCTCGAATATATTGAAGAGTACCTTAAACTCCCTCCAGCCCTTTACTATCAACATATTACATAGTGATCAATAATGGATACTTCATATAAAGTACCTCAAAATCGGTTAAATTTTTCTTAAGCTGGCTTGTGTGCACATTTAATTCGTGCACTTGTAGCTTGCGATTGGAATTGCCAGCATCGGATTGGGACTTATTAGTAGACATTATATTTATTTTTTTAATAAAATTAGCTCCTTCAATTTTTAACCTTAATTATTACAATTATATTAAACTAATTGTATTTTTTTCAAATTATTCCATCCTACGCAGTTTAAATTATTTTTGTTTTGTTGGTGATTTCGTGCAAAAGTAACTTCCTCAAATTGCGTTTTTTTTTCCTAATTTCGGAATTACTTAACTTTGTTATACGGATTTTAAAATTTCTTGGCTCGACAAAAGTTTTAAAATTTTATAAGACAGGCGACACTAATAGGCATGCAAATTTAATGGAAATTCTGCATGAATTTTCCGACATTAAATATTCATGTTTTTTACCGTTCTTACAAAAAATAATTCTTAAATAAATAACACAATATCAATCTTCTCGTTAGCTAGGGCATAATTTCTATTTTAATTTAAAAAACATCATCAACATAGTTTTCCTTTTACATTTTTATAGATGATCATTTTAGAACTTATATATAGAATTATAAATTAATATAGTTTATTAACAGTGCTGCAAGTTCACAGAAAACTTACTTCAGACTTACTACTGACTTAAGACTTAAAAGTTAAGTCATTTTCAGAATAATTTGCGATTTAAATCTTTATTCCGAACTAAAAAAAGAATTAAGTCATTAAAAAGATTTAAGTCTGTTTATAACACATTTTTATGATAAATTTTTATTCATTAATTTATGATAAATATATTTTAAGTTTAAGTCTTTAAGAAAATGACTTGACTTGAAAGAAAATTATTTAAGTCAAAAACTTAAGATTTAAATCATTTTGATTTTAGAAATGACTGAAGACTTAAAATTGAAGTCTTTTTGAAACTGACTTATTGCGGCTCTGTTAATTATCAGTACTTATCGTATTATAATTTTGAAATGGTATGAAAATGTGTTAAGAAAGTGTGACTGTGCTCAATATTAGTCAACAGGAGATACATAGTTATTATAAATGATATTTAAATTAACAAATGACAAATTTGATAGGAGATAAAAATCAGTTAATGTGTCTACAAGTATGTCAAGCGAAAGGATATCTATTATACATCGAGTTTCATAATAAAATAATTATTATGTATGCGCTATGGGTAAATCCTAACATTTTCACGTCTCGCTGCCTTTTGCTAGTGAAATTTCAACAAAGAAAATTTGTCGTTTCCGAAAATAAACCCGTTAGAAATAGCAGTTTGACTTAATGATTGATAAGAATCAAAATTATATGAACCAATATTTCAGCAATTTATCATGTTTCTAAAAGAAGATCTATGTTTCTTACATTACTTACATTTTCTTGTAAAGCAAGAATCATAAAGCTTAATGATGACATATATGTAAACACAGGTGTAATTTTAGGTACATATAAAAATTGCTTCTTCTTCTTCTTCTAAGTAGAAGAAAGAAATAAGTATTTGAGAACTAGTCGATCTATTAGTTTTAAGGTTGCCTCTGTAGGAGTTCTTGGGAGATGGAACCAACTGTCTTTCCGTCTTTTTGGAGGTCTTGCCGGCCATTCTTCCATCTTGGTAGCCATTTTTCTTCCATACGTTTTACGTGTGCATCTCACTACGTCCTCTATTCCACATTGTAGACAACTCTTAAGAATCCGGTGGTTCCATCATGTCTCAAACGTATCGGTCCTTGAAAAAGCTAACTGCGAGAATATTGAAGTCATGGTTACAAAATCCCGCTTAAGATGGGCTGGTCACGTATGCAGAATATAAGGAAACCGCATACCAAAATCTCTGCTTTACGGTGAGCTTGTAGACGGTAAGAGGAGGCCGGGTGGACAGCTCAAAAGGTACAAGGACATTTTCCACGAAAACTTAAAGGGGATTAACATGCAGAATCATTGGGAAGAAGCAGTTCACAATAGAACTCAATGGAGAAGAATTGTAAACTCAGTTAACAGCGACAACCAAAAAGTAAAGAGGCAACAAAGCGATGAGATTTTTGAATTTCCGGAGTGCGGTAGACAAATAACATCACGTATCGGGCTTTTCAGTCACAGAAAAGCTCATGAAAGAAAACGTCTTGCGTGACCATCTTTTAATGCGTGTCGAATACTCGTCAGCGAGTAATGGCAGTATATGGAGTATATTGTTGTCTGATATCTGTGTTTCTAATTCTATCCCCATTATGGTTCTTAGGTTCTTCATTTCAGCAACCCTTAACATGCTTTTGGTTTTGTTTGTTTCCTCTCGGATTTTTATGCTATATGTGATTGTTGGTCTGATGCAGGTCTTGAAAAAAATCAACACAAATAGTTTTGTTGATTTTTTTTTGTTCTGATTGAACTTGTTGAAACTTGAATTGGCTTGCATTCGACAAAAAAGTGTAATTCGTTTGTTTAAACCATTGTTAGCTTCGTCAAGTAAATTGCAGGATATTTTAAACGAGGTGTTATTACAGTGTAATTGCGAAATGAAATTATCATCCTTATTTTTGCGTTGGCACGCAGCAAAGAAATATAATTATAACACAGTCATAAATACGAAGGCCACGGTATAATTGCAAAAAGAAAAATATTTATCACGCATGTGTGTTTGATATTTGACATTTTATATACTTGGAAATTATTTTCGTGAATAACTTGCAAGGCATATCAGATTTTGCTTCGCAGTTCTTAATCAACCTTTGTACTTTGTACTAGTTATGCTCAAGTTAGAGTTACATTTTTGGTATGCAAAGAATAATGCAAGATAAAAAAAAGTAGAAAGTTTTAATACTTTTTTGAAAAAAGTATTTTTAAAATAATATATGTAAATGCATCAAGAAACAGTTCAGGTGTTTCAAGATTTTTTGAAACCAAAAAACTTCATTCATTTAATTCCTAAATCCTAATTGTTAAATATTAATATAAATAACTACAGAAAGAGAGGAAATAGAGAAGCTGAACAAATTAGATAAAGGAAAAAGTCCGCCTACTCTCGATGCCAGCGCACCAAATGATAAGGTAATGAAAAAGTAAACGACCTGATCTGAGGAAAGGATCGAAAACTCCACTAACTGTACCAGAACCGTTCTGCCTCCCAAGTGGAAACCAACTTCAATCACAACTCGAAAACCTGGAAAACTCCATCCGTAACCTGGAATGGAAATCATCCAGCGGTCTACACACTCGAAGAAATTTCTTAGGACTTACGACCGAAAAAAATCAGTAATTTTTCGTTGTTTAAGTAAGAACAATCTTCGGATTGTCACGGGGTTTTTAACAGGACTCTGTCCTCCTCAATGAATGAACACCTTATTAAAAGGAAACCTAAGAAACAACGACGAATGTAGATTCAGCTAAGAAACAACGACGAATGCAGATTCTGTAGTTTCCTTACGACAACTATTTATGCCATAAACTTTGGTACGACTGATATCGGAGATGGAGGACTAATCTCTGTAAAACCCTTTCAGGTACTGAGTTTTGTCATAGTCCTGAGACTCTATGATGAGTTATAGCTCAAGAAGGGTGGACACAATAAATCTATAAGGTCGCGGTGATAACTTTTCCCCTCCCAAACAATCTACAAAGAGGGAAATTTGTAACTTTTTCAAATTATATTAGGCTGTAGTTTTAAAAAGCGTCTTTACAATATCTAACAGATATTGTTCATAGAGTAATTCTTTGTATTTTAAATTCGCTTGACACGCACATAAATTCAAAATCCTTCTCGCACAACACAACTCAGTAACAACTTAAATAATCTAAGAAACAATTTAATATTGAACTGAAAATTAGCCCTAGAAATACGTTCACCACCGCAAACTTTCTGTCTAATCTCTAAATCAGTGGATATCGACTAACCGAATAACGCCAGAAGATACAAAACAGTTAAGAAATTAAATTATAGATCGCAGTGAGTGATGCGACAGGCTCAGTAAATACTTTCTGACAGTTCCAAAGGCTCTGCTGGAATTATTTATAGACTTTAAGTATAAACTCCAATTTAAAACTCTTCTGCATTGTTGCTGGAGTAAACAACGCATTATTGATATGTTTTGTGTAGTTCCGTTTGTGGGTTTAAAGGGTAATATTTGTTTGAAATTATTTATTTTTCTACTTTTAGAACTTATTAAAAATTGCACAAACTTTATTTTATGTTTAAGTGATTCTTAATGATAAAAACGTTATTATTGTTAAATACAAGTTCTAAAGATTAATTACTGTAGCATGTGTCCAACACAGTAATTGAATAATTAAGTTATTATCGAAAATCTGAACAAAGAGAAACATGTTTGTTCCCACAACCAGAACAGTATTTAATGCTGTAATTATGGTACTAAAGTAA